TCTCTTCCATATTTCAATTGGAGTCTGGATCACTCTTTAAAAAGAGGACACCTTGGAAGCAGGAGCATCAGCTAGGGTGGGGAGACGTCAACAAAATCCAAATGGCAGCCACAGCCATGTCATCAAATCTCCATCCCTTTGTAGATGAAGTGGCAGGTCCATTCCGCTGTGACCACCATCTTGACTTTTTTAAACCCCTCCCGGGATGCCTTTTCTTGAAAGATGAATTTTCATCCTGCAGGTTGAATGCAGTCACCCACCACTTTAGTTTTCTGGAGCCAGAATGGAAATAGATATACTGTTAGCAGCTTGATGCTTTGCTCTGCAGTGATCAGCATCTTGATTTTTCTAACTGAAATGGTAAAAAATTAAAATCAGCTAGGGCTGGAGACCAGAAGGCTGTCATGGGTTGCTTCCATGGGTACATTGATGGTCACTTACTCTTATGTCTTTTGTATGTTGCCCCAGCGAATAGAACATGGGATTGTAATAAAAAATTGGAAGGAGATAGAATTTGGCTGATCTGGACCCATCAGTGATGTACATAACAATAAATTATGAAACTCAGTGCTGGAACATTAGTAGATAAAATGCCCTGTTGGAAGTGAATTCTGTCCTCAAACTTTTGTCCATTTACTTTGCTGCCAATTCACTGAGTGTCTTGTGTCCTCCAAAATATTGCATTAACCCAGCCCATGAAATGCACCAATGAAATGCACTTTACCCAGTCTTGGTAGGTACGTTTACCAATTTAATTTTATTTAAACAACCATTTGCCTTCCCCTCCCCCTGCTCCATTTCAGTTAAGGGATCTTGTGTTTCTGAGAAGGAAATGAACTTTTATGCAGTCCATATGATGTTTTTTTCTTTAATCAGATTTGTTCACTGCATGACAATGGAGGGAAAATATTTGGTAGAAAGACACACTGTAGCTTGATGTGCATGAATCGAAGCTAGGACAAATGTTCCCCTCCAGACTGCACTCTGGTGCACGTCTTGCACAGTCTGTACCCACAATAATCAGAATGTTGATAATACAAAAATTCATCCTTTTCTTTTCTTTTTCTTTTTTCTTTGTCACCCATGCCATCTCATTCCTTTGTCTAATTAATTTATTTTTATTTCTGGACTTCTAGATGCCATTTAAAGGAATAAATTAACCACAGAGTATAGGTTGCTTTATAACCCTTTGGCGTGCATCAGAAAGCTTTATAAAGCTTTCTTGAGGCCCTAATTAGATTTTAGGAACGTAGATGTGGCAAAAGCCTGAAATGTTTGGATAACTGAATTGATGTAGGCTGTTGGTGAGAAATTTCCACATTTCTAAAGTTCCTACCTGCAGAAAACAAACAAATGAATCACTTCATGCATTCAACTTTCTCTGTGTAGAAAACTAGTATTGAAGGGAACTTGGTTCATCTTTAAAAAGCTCAACCTGCTTCTTTATAGTTTTTTTTTTTAATTCCCCAAAGGGTTTCCTTTCTTGATGTTGGTGCTGAAGAACCATTGACTTAAGATGCTCCCTGCCATCTGATGTAGCAGAAGGTTGCATTTACTTTTTTTCTTTCATTTGCTGAAAGGCACATGGGATGTCCTGATGTCAATGTGGGAAGAGCCAAACCAAACGAACACTGCCTACAAAAAGCACAAATGCATTGTATGTTAAAATAATTCATCAGAAACATTTATTTATTAATTCAATTTATGTAGCCGCCCATCTCACATCCAAATAATAAAAAAGTAACCAGGAACAACAGAAAGACATGAAAAACCATTAAAAACAATAAAAACTATTCATAAATATCTACATCACCCCTGCCACCATTTCTATCTTAAAATGGGAGCAGACATCAAGGATGAAGTTTCATAAGATGCAAGTTATGAATGGAGGGGGGTACTTTTAAAAATTATGTTGCATGTTTCTGAAGGCCTTTTCATCATCTTCAGTTCGGTATACAGCCCACCATGAGCACTTTGGGCATACTGTCTAAATCAAACAAGCAGTATGTATTCTCTGTACATAAAAGGGTGGTCTTGAAGAAGACAATATCTTCATCCTTTAGTTTTGAGTTTGACATCACTGTGTTATTCACATGCACTGATTTCATCCTTGCAAGAATACTGAAAGGTATGTCAGTACAGTAAGGACAGAATTTGAATCCAGGACCTCTTTGTTCACAGTTCTCTTAGCCACAAAGTTATGTTTTGTTTTGTTTTTTAATTGTCTTCCAGTTACAACCATTTCAGGCAGAGCCTCAATTTAAAATCGCTTCTGTTTTCACAAGAGAAACAAAATGTAAATCTCTCCCATTCTTTTTCAGGGGCAGTGAAATTTGGCCCCATAATGAGTTGTGGGACTTGTAAGGGATTGTGGGGAAGCTGGCAAAGTATTGGAAGAGCAGGCATAAACAATCAAGAGATAGAAGGCAAGTCCATTGGCAGCTTATCTCATAAACGGCAACTCAGCCTGAGCATCAAGAAACCTGGGAAGAAGCATTTTGGATCATTGAAAGAGACTCTGCCTTAATGAACTCCCTATAATGAGGGCTGGAAATTCCTCTTGCAATTTCCAAGATTCTGGATTTACCCCCAGGACTAGCATTAAAGATAGCAAAGACTTACTGAAGTCTCTGTAATTCTTACTTCCTTGATCCTGCCCAGCCCGGGGGGACTTGATAGAAACCTTTTCCGTTAGCAATGGGCATAGCGTGCACAATGGAATTTCCTTCCAAATAGCTCAGCTGCCATTTTTTTAAGAGTCTTTCCATGCTTCTTCCTCTCCCGGGATCATGGAACTACAGAGTTGGGTGCACTGAAGAAACTAACTTCACCTACTAGCAGTGAAGTCAACACCTGAATGGAGGCAAATCTCTCTAGAGAATATTGGAAATATCACAGCAAAACTGTGAAATTCAGGGTGATGTCTTTTGGGGGCTCAAAATTATGGACCAGTTTCATTCGTCCTCCAGGATCTATGATATATAACCATCACGTAGCATATAACTGTCAAAGAACTATAACCATATAACCACCATACAGCTATACGTGGCACACCAGTGCTAATCTAAAATGACAACGTGGAATGATTGGGAAGAAGGAAAGTTATTTCTATCCAGGGCAGAATTACAGATGATGGATTCTTACCAATAATAGCATTTGAGTTGTGACTGGATGTCGTGGCCTTTTTTTTTCTTTACCCCTCAATGGGTTAGCATGTTTTTGGGTCAATGGCTGATTAATGCCAGGCCAACCGCATTAATATTTTATGAGTCATGTGTTTAGTTGGGAATAGGACAGCTAATAAATTTCCAGTATACTGTAATGTGCATGGCTTTAATGTTATCTATTTCCTACATTTAAAGAAACTCAATTCTACACTTCTTAAAAATCGATTTCTAAGGCTCGGTTTGTCAATAATTTCTCTGCTGTGTTCAATTTGGACGTGTGTTTATGTTGCTTTGGATATACCATGGGTCACGGATCAGGTGTGATGTTTTTGGAAATGCTTTTTTATTGCTATGATGCACATACATAAGTGCTCTCTCTCATTTGCCCTCAGGAGCGTCCTCACGTACTCAGATCTGATCTCATCCTGTTCAGTATGTGGCATCTGACAGGCTAGGAATGTGTAATGAATTAAGTAATTCACGTAATTAATCCGAGAAGAAAAAAATGGAACTAATATTAGGGAAAAGGGGGTTCAACATGTGTCATGTATCACTAGGCTGCTCTTCCAGGTGCTATAACAGGGTGGAAATCTGGCTTCGTAAGCAGGACATACCAATGAGCTCATAATGTCTGGTGGATACATTTGAAGCATGTCAAATGCATGCTACGTCTTCACTCAGCTGTGGCCCTGGCTAGAAGGCAGTGACACCATAGGGGGGTTCGTCGCTGTGGCCTCTTTCTTGGCTCTCCACCAACCCCTAAGGACTTGCTTTCTTTTAGTTTACTTTTGGGTGCAACACTTGGAAAATTATCGTGCTTTTCTCATTAATTTAGTTTTTCACTGGTATAGGCACTAGCAACCTGACCATATACCTATTTATTCAGAAGCCACTCTTAATATCTAAGTAAGTGTCAAACCCTCTTTACACACACACACACACACACTGCCCTGAATTGTTGCTCATACAGAAAATCATGAAACCTTTTCAATTCTGTTGCTTCAAAAACACGAGCTTCCTTTCTCCTTAACCTGACTAACAGGCCATAATTTCTTCTTCCAATGATTCAGTGCTCCTGCACGCCGTGAATCCCAAACACTCAAGGGAACAGGGCTTTAAATAACTTAACTCACTCAAGGATTGTAGGAAGTTTCTGGCTCCAAAACTCAATTTGGGAAATCAGATTACTTAAAAGATTTAGAAGGCCAATGGGTAGATTATACTGATGTACCAATCAAAGGTATTTATGCAACCCCAAGGCACTAAAACAGCATTCTAACATGCCTTTGGTTTTTTTAAAATGTTTATAACATTAAATTCCATTAAAAGATTGAAAACAAAGTGTAATGAAACACCCACTTTTTTTTTTCAGGCAGCTGTTTCTTTTCAACATCGCACAATATGTTGGTGATTTACAGTAAAAACAACTTCCCTGAAATGGCTAGTCTAATACCTGGATGCTGCCATCCCTTTCTGTATTTTTATTTTTATTTTGCATTTATGGGAATATCTGTAAACAGCCATTTGGTTTAGCAGGGGCCAGCAAGGCAATGTACAAAAACAAGCCATTAAAAGCTGATGACAAAGAAATGGATTAAAGAACCAAAGTACTTCGGCAGGATTATATTTTTCAATATTTTATATTATTCGATCTCTGTAGTGAAAATTATTAACAGCAGGATAGCATCAACATGTTTTTATTGGCTACCAGAAAATAAATTCAGATAGTGCCATCCTGTCTGTCCAGGAGCAGAGTAGCTAAGGAGAACTATCCCATATTTCTCATCTCTCTAACCTTTTTTTTAAATTATTGTTTTGGGAAAATAATTTTAGGAATGACTATACCAGAAGAAGACGCCGAGGTGGGACAAGGCAGCAAATATTGCCTGGTGGCAATAGGAAGACTTCAGGTAAAAACCCTTTTTGGTTACAAAAATGCTTGCAGAAGTTAACTCTGTGGCTTATTGGACTTCAGATAACAACAGCAATCCCAGATAAAATGTAAGGCAACAGGGTCTAACACAGTGGGGGTAGATATACAGATATAACAATGCTGCCAAATATACTAATATCCTAATACATGTAAGATCCACACACTTCATTGCAAATAATTTGGGATTATCAGGGGGCCCTGCTTCTGTGCAACGCACCACTTCTTGATATCTAGAGATGTTATTCTTCCCTACAGAGGAATCTGTTTTGAATCCAACCCCTGGCTCATCTAATGCCAAAAATGGGGAATCATCTGTCTAGTGTCACATTATCTCAAAGATAAGGGACAGGATTGAAGTCAACAGTGGTTAGAATCAGAGCCCAAAGTAGAATGGGACCCCGTTACCTTTGCAGCACTCCTCTTATCTGTCTCTTCAACCAGCAGAATACGGGGAAAGGAAAGGTAGAGTATCTCTGATCAGAAGCCTGAAATGGTCTCCTGCTGCAGGCTTTGGAAATTAGATCAAAGGTTATAGGCGTGGTACTGCATGTCCCAGTTTCTCCACTTTGATGCACCTTGCAGCTGGGGATTCAATACATCAGACTGAGGAAGATTGATCTATCCTAGCTGGCAGTAACTCTCCAGCATTGCTTCTCCATACTGGAGATGCTAGAAACTGAACCTGGGAGCTTTGGAATGCAAGGCATGCATTCTGCCTCTGAGCTATGGCCCAGTCCGTCAATAGAAGGAAGGGTTGGGAAGCAGCATCAAGAGGGCCTTGTCCTAATTCTTGTCTTATGATGGCCATTGATCTTTGCTTTAACCAGAACACGAGGTTCCACATCACAGGTAGAGTCCACATGCACAGATCAGGGACAATGGGCAATAGGAGTAACACATTTTCATGGCAGTAGGACAAAGCCAGGGGTCTTATTTTATGTGCTGGCTAATCAGGTGAGCTGGGTCCTTGAATAAGGCTCATGCTGGGTTTTTCCTATTATTTAATATGCACTATTAAAGGTACATATGCCCACTTAAAGTCCTTGACACTGGAAATGTGCACTGGAGTCTTTAGTCCCATTTGTTCTTCTATATAGCCGACTTCCTCGGAGATGCAAAGTGTGGTCTTGGCACTGCCGTCTTCCTCATGCCTTAAGTACAAAAGCTAAACATTATTTAGGGGTTGCAGAAACAGGAGAGGGGGAACATAATTTGCTAATGGTGCAGCTGTCAAAATAAGACAGCTATTCTGAAGGATTATTCGCGGCATGTAGAGAACCAAATGCTTTTTGCCTAAGTCGTGCTGTGAGGTCAACACCTAGGGAAGCTTCACCACAAAGAAATCAGGAAGGGCATGCATTATGAACTTTTCCTCCCCAGGAAGTACATAATCCACCTGGAAGCCAGAGCCCTCCTCCTTAGGGTGGCATCTTGACACAGTTTCAGTTCTGGGGGAGAATATTTAAGGGCAAACAACACTGGAACGTGCTTCTTTGTTTGAGAAACCCATCTGGCACTGTGGGATAGAGAGAAGAGGTCACAGAAGAGTAGTTTTGCCCCTTTTTTCATAATACCCTCTGTACTTGCATGACTTTCTTGATTGGCCAAGATCTCTCTCTGCTGCCAAAAGGTTGGGTTGCTGCTGTAAAACTGTTTATACTAGATACTACTTTCTAACCCACTGATTTATCCCAGTGAGCATATTTCTCTGCAGCAGTTTGCTGGGAAATTTCCATTCCTGTTTGCAGATATCAAAATTGCATCTGATGTATTCAGGCAGTTTGGGTCTGATTTTCAATGACATTATTAGCACCGAATGGATTCCTTAGTATTTTAAATCTTCTATATATTCATATTGCTTCCAGTGTTTAAAATTTATTTCCATATGGCATCCGTATGTTTTGAGCATTTTTAAGAAAGTTATTTGGAAACACAGCCTGTGAAATTTTTTTTTATTATTTAATTGTCCTGGATGCCAGGTATTCCTTTGTCCTATCTGTTTGTTTGAATTATAGTACCTATTTGAGAAGGGAAGTTACAGGCGCAGATCAATAACCATTCAGTCTTCTTCAGTAGAGCGGAATTAGTCTTCCTTTAGAACAGCCTTCCTGGATCCCTTGATGCCTTCCTGGAGCTGCTGTTTCCAGAATTCTAAGCCAGCACTTGTTGGGAATTCTGGGAGCTCCAATCATACCATAACTAGAGGGCCCAAGTGACTTCAATCCTTCTCAAATCTGTCCTACACAAGTAACCTGAGAACCACCAACCCATCTGAACATTGATCGTCCATAATTGTTCTTTTGGGCCAGGTAGTTGGTATGCAAAAACTAGACTCACTCTTATGCAGTTTTGTTTCACAAGCACCAGTAGATTCTGTTCTTGTAAATTGTACTTTGGTGATTCCCCCACCCCCTGCCATGTTTGCGGAATAAAGCATGTGTAATTATTTTTCTTAGGTGACTAGTTCACCAGTGTGCATGGATATGAATGGAATGTCAGTCCCCACAGAATTCTTATCCAGGCATAGCTCAGATGGAATAATTACTTTTGTGGATCCAAGATGCATCAGTGTTATTGGCTATCAGCCACAGGTCAGTTCATTCTCTTTGCCTAAGTAGCCAGATTTCAGAATTTGCTTCTGGATATTTTTAAAGAGGTCTATTACCAAAGATGGAGGGCTGGGATCTAAAGGAACATAGAGGGAGGGAGGGAGGGAGGGAGGGAGTCTAAAAAAGATGGTTAGATATACTGTACTTTGTTCATTAAATCAATGAATATATTTCTTATGTTACACAGTCTTAATCAGCTCTTCTCCATACTTAAAGTTATTTCAGAGGTTTATTTTAAAGGTGTAAAAGGTTTAAAGGTTTAAAACTTTTAAATCAGATTTCAAATTTAAATGAAATGTTATGGTTGATTCAGTTGTATTATTATGTGGTAGATACTTTGAGACTAGGAGCATCTGAATGTAATCATATCCATCTGACAGATCTGCAAACAGTGACAATTAGGCTCTTATTGCAGTCTTGCTTAATTTTTATTAAGTTGTTCCAAAAATTATTTTTAAACATTTAGTGTTTAAAAATTATTTTTAAACATTTAGTGATTAAGACAAATTCCTCTGGCAATTTGTAACCTTTTTAACTGTTGTGGTTTCTCTCCTTCTACGGCTGGCGTACCAGGATCTTTTGGGGAAAGATATTTTAGAATTCTGTCATCCAGAAGATCAAAGCCATTTAAGAGAAAGTTTCCAGCAGGTAACATTCTCCTTATTAATACAGTCCCTTTGTATTCTCCATCCCAAATGTGAACGCTATGACTGCTCAGTTATGCTAACCAGGTATAAGATAAGGGTAAAGGTATAAACAGAATAACAGTGGGCAAATATGCAATATAATATATTACATATTATATTATATATTATATTAGATATAATATATTACAAATATGTAATATAAAATAAATATGGCATTGGGCAAGAATTATATAAATCTATATTTTTATTAAAGTTTTTAATTTTTTAGATTAATCATTATCTCCTTTCTAGTTCCTGCATTTCTGACACAAGACAAGACGAGATATAGATACTTATTTATAATGCAAATAAAACTTAATTATGTTCTGTGTGTTCATGTTGAATCCTAGAACAATATGTAAGCACAAATTATGTTCTGCAGTACTCCCCTAAGCTGTACGTTGCAGGCAGGAATTATGTTACAGATCATAATTTGAGGGCTAAGTATCAACATGGTAATCTGTTTCTTTTGCATGTTGGAACTTCAAGTTCAGGTCTTTCCTAGTTGTAAAACGTGTTGAGTATTCTACACCATGGTAAATCATAATGTGGTTTGCTTCTTTTTGACTTCATGTGATATGTAAAATCTACATACAAACCTTAATGCTTAGCCTTCTGGATAAGCTAGGAGTCATTCAACAAACAAGAATGCTTTATCGTTAAAAGAGATCACAGCCACTTGGTCACTTAGCATCATCTGTAGCCAGAGTCTCATTCTCCCCACAAAATCTGATGAAATTAGTACAGGTAATCTGTGTTCAGTGACTGTTCGTTCAGCAACTGTTCAGAGTTACAACAGCGCTGAATGAGGGGACTTACGATTGTTCCTTGTAGCTGTGGCCATCGCAGCATCCCCGCAGTTATGTGATGTGACTCGGGTGCTTGGCAACCAGCTCGCATTTACGACAGTTTCAGTGTCCTGCGGTCACATGATCACCGTTTGCAACCATATTTTAGTGGCAGATTTCCATCAATAATAGTAGTTTACTCTGGGTCATCCTTAGAGTGTCTTAAGCAACATTTAGCCCATTTTGGCTGATCTCAGAAAAGCTAAGCAGGACCAGAACTGGTTAGGACCCAAAAGGGAGACTATCCTCAAATCCCAGGGTTGGACACTAGTTTGGGAATTGAAAGAAAATGTCCCAAAGAAGGCAACGGCAAACCAGTTTTGCACTGTTGTCAAGAAAAACTATATGGAAATGTCCATGAAGTCACTAGCCTCCAAGGAGACTTTATCTTAAGCTTTTCAGGTTCCATAATTTTACTGTAGAAGACTATAGCCTGTCTGCCCACCTATCACTGAGCCATTCCAATAGCCATGAAACACGTTGTTTGCAGTTTACAAAGGGTCCAAGTGTATTTACGTGAAGGATGCAGGGGTGAGTTTACCATAAAAAAACCATTAAGGGAATTCTATTTAAAGCATGACACATCCCTTCTCAATCAGACTTTCCGTGCAGCTTAAAAGTTAGCAACTAAGCATGTTAGTGTAATTTAAAAACGTTAAAAACGCATATAAAAGAAAAAAACGTTAACACGCATATAAAAGAAATCAAATCTAACAGCAGAAACTTGTTTACAAGCCAAATCGTAGTGAACAGTTGTGATAGGATTCAGAATATCACAAAGGCATCAGGGAAGGAGACAGGCAGGCAGTGCTGGAGAAGGAATTTCATTATTTCAGCACCATCCCAGAGTGCCACCTTTCATCTCGTGGTTAACAAAACGAGCCTCCAAAGCAGTTAAAATGCCTGTATCGTTGGCTATCTTCTGCAGCAAAAGCCAGTGAAGGCTATTCTGCCAATTTTGACTCTCTTAAACTGTAGATGAACATATTTGGAAAATATCAATCAATCGATCTATAGATATCTGACTATTTTTAAACCTTCTTACACCTGGTAGTAATAAATGTACAGCTCTTCAACATTTTGGCTCTGGGCACAGATAATTCAAATCGAGCCTAAAGATTTTACAGCCAGAAGCCTGCAAGCAGGTGGAAGCAATTCTATGCAGAGCTCCATGTTTTCAGAGAAGCATTAGAATTTGTGTCATTGTAAGACAAATTGTGATTTATCCAGCATGTCCTTTGACAGATAGCTTTGGCGGGTTACCAGGCACACATTTTAGCTGCTTTCCTTGCCATATTTAGCTGCAGATTAGACTGCTTTGGGCCTTGCCTGAAGCTCATCCCTTCCTTGTTTTCCAGCTGAAATGCTGAATGTTAATTTGAGTGGGTTAGCTGTGCGGGGTGTGCAAAAGCTCCTTTAGTTTTCTCCAGCTTATAGTTATGCTTTGCAAAAAAAAAAAAAAAATAGTGACACAGCCTATTTAGGGTATTTGCTGGCAAAAGAGGAGATATACATTTGCTGATCGTTGACCGAATAGATACTACGACGACGATGACTACATTTCTTGAGTTATCTCCTGTTATTTTGAATCCTAGTGAGAGCATCATCGTAGAATTCATTTTAAGCGATGCTTCTGGCAGGCTGGGATGCTTTTTGTCAGGATAGATGGCGATTTCTTGATCTTGTCCATTCTGATTTCCTACAATTACATTGTTCATCATTCTTACCCAGCTATGATTCAGTACCGTGTGTTCATTTCCAGAGCTGAATGGCCCATTTCATCCCATAATGCTAGGCCAGTTTTGAGCAAATGTGTCAGTGGCAACACTGAACACTCATCATCCTTTTCTCTCTTCCCTTCAACTTTCCATCCTTGTGCTGATTTGCAGAAGGCTCACAGGTCTTTTTTTTTTTGCACTTGGCGCATCGATTCAGAAGCTGCAAATATGTAAATTTCTCTCGCCTCCATCCATCCACCCATGGCAGTGATGCTTATGTGCCCTAGATCTTTTTTATTTAGATATTTATTTCTTATGTTTGTGGTTTAAGATAACACTGTGATTCTGCTTATCAGAAGCCTGGGTGAACAGCACCTTGTTAAATTGGGATGGGGGTGGGGAACCTGGACATTTTCAAATTGCTGACCTTACTAAGAAACATTTAGGGGAAGATAATCAAGGAAGGAATTTGGAGGGTTTAACCTGTCCAGTCTCTTCCCCTTCAGACAAGACTAAAGTCATCTGCCAGGGTGGGAGAAGAAAATAAATAAATCTGAATGAAATACATTTGGAGGGCAAGGACAACAAAAGACTTTAGTATCAAAAGTTGGTGTGGAGACCTGTATTAGGAAATTCTTTAGCTGGGCATTAACAGACAAGTTCTGCTCCACTTTCAGTCCAGTCTTTGGGTGGGGCAGGAGAACCCTGTTATTGGAAGGATATTGGACATCTGGTAGAAATTAGGTCTTAATTCTAACAAACATTCCCACTTCGGTTTTGTTTTGTTTTTTTTAAGCAGGTCCTGAGTTTCTGGGAACTCAAAAAGGATTTCAGTGTTTTCCACATCTCTCTTTTGCTTATTTTTTTCTCAAGATTCCCATTGACTGGCATATCACTACTCAGTTGATAGCAAGCCCCTTAGCCAACTATAAACTAGGGCAAGATAGTCAATCCATAGACCAAAAATGGGTAGGATTGGACATTTAGATATCTGTTGGTTTATTTGACCTGGTTGTAGGCTTAAGGAGCAAAAGGAATGCCTGAAGAACCCATACAAAGTAATGATTCTTTTGAGTCAGGCTTGACTTCTGGTGACTACATGGATGGTCGCAATATAAAGTGGTTTGCCATTTTTTTTTTACCTTGGGAGAGGACTTCCTAGTATAGTCTACAATCCTGGGAGGCCCTAATAAACTCTCCTCTAATACTAACAAGGTCTGATCTTGTATAGCAGTCCAGATCAGGTAGGTGTTACTTATCATGGTTAAGGACCTTGAACTCCTCCCACCTCTACATTGATAGAAATTGCCCTATTTAGAGGCATGAAGTGGCAAGATCTCTGTTTTAAATCAACTTTTCCCCCTTCAAGTCCCTGCTTAAAAAGCAAGCAGTTCAAAGTGGTTTCTCTTGCTAGCCTGTAACCTCCCTTTATGACTGGGATGTGATCTCCTTTTCCTTGATCTTTACAATGATTCTGCAGGTTGTGAAGCTGAAGGGCCAGGTGCTCTCTGTGATGTATCGTTTTCGTACCAAGAACCGGGAATGGATGTTAATCAGGACTAGCAGCTTTACGTTTCAGAATCCTTATTCGGATGAGATTGAGTATATCATCTGCACCAACACTAATGTCAAGTATGTTCTTTGAAACCTAAGAAATGTCTTCCCTTCTCCAAAACAAGGTCCTGTAGAATGAGAGCCTTGTTTCTAGTTTACCCTCTGTATGCTTCTAAATATACCTACCTAAAGAAATGGGTAATGTATGCAGTGTTTGGCTCTAAAGCTAAGCCAAGCCCCATGTGACCTCAATCCTCTCTGCTGGGCTTCTTTTTATATTTTCTAAAAATTGTTTAATTAAAAATATTGAATAAATGAGAACTTAGCATGGCAGCTTTTACTATCTTCTTTATTGGGCATGTCTGAGGACAGGACCTGCCCAACTGTCAGTCTCGCTAGGTAGACCAGACCAGAAAATCAACTTCACAGGCAGGCTAAAACTACTTTTATTGAGAGTGGCTATAATAACAGGATCTCATAAATCTGATTGTTCTGGACCTCCTCCCCTTTTTATACTCCAGTGAATTAGAGAAGCATCTGCCTGCACCTCTTCTGAACGCTGTCTCATTGCTCTGGATCTAAAAAAATGTTTCAGCCCTTTTTCCCCAGGTAAAGGGTCTTGCCATAAAGGTCATCTTCCTTACTTTCTACACCAACCATGTCTAGGCTTGGAAGTTAAGCATTGTCAAGCCTGATTAACACAGAGATGAGAGATCTCCAGGAAAGTGCCAAGCTGGAGGCAAAACTGAGAAGTTGAAAACGCATTCCAGAAGATAGCAGAATAAATTCCTTCTGTATTTTTGCCAAGAAAAATCCAAAAATCATCCAGGGGCAAACCTGATTGGCAGGAGACTTGACTTCCCTTATGGCCAGGAACACCTGGGAGTTGCCAAGGCATAACATCACTTAGAAAAATAAAAATGGCAGTTGGCTACTGTTCAATTATTTGTTAGAAAACTCGCTCACTACCCCAGAAAATAGACAGATGTAAACTAAGATTCTAGTGGCGTCAGCTTTGTTTTGTTTCTGCAATGTGAGTTTTTGGAACTGGCTTTGCCCTACAGGGCCACTATGGAGCTACTTTGAAAACTTCTCAAAATTCTAGAAGTGGTTGGCCCAACTTTGGTCCAGAAAGGTTGCCTACTCCTGGCATGAGAAGATCTAGCAGCTGTTTTCAAAATGCTGTGATTTTCAAGAGAAGATAAAGATAACACTTACTCAAGTGTATTCATAGCAAAATTCAAAAGCAAGTCTTTCAGCCTCTTAAAAGATTAAAATGTTTGTGGCACCTGATGCATGAAAGGTGATGGTGTGTGTGATTAGGAGGTATGGGATACGGAAACAGGATTTCTTTGGACTAAAAAATACATTTTTGATGCATGTGGGAAAGATTTTGAGCTCTGTGTTATGTTCTCTGGGGGATCTTCAGAAAATCTAGGCTCCTTTGTGGCTTTAACTTATAAATGGGACCTTGTTTTAAATCTCAGTTTCACCTGATGGCAGGCTGGTGACCCCCAAGGAACAGGATTTTCTTGGGGGTTGCCCCCTTACAATAAAAATTTCTTCCAATGGAAATGGAAACGGCTAATCCAAATAACGTATTTCATCACTTTGGAATTAGATGGCTAAGCTTTGTGGTTTCCTTTTCTCCTTATTTCACCAAGATGAGCTTGAGGACCTGCAGTTAGGACAACGTGGGTGCTTTCCAGAATGCTATTCTAATGTTTTTTTCTATGATCTGTAGACTATCTTTAAGTTCTGACTTGGGTCCAAAGAGAAATCAAAACTTGGATAATAAATAAATGTCTGTTCTACGTGGTCAGATGTTAGAGGCAAGGGGATCTATTGCTCATAAACAAACTTCTGTTCACCCAGAGGTCTTCAAAAGGCCAATTTTAAATTACTTATGTTGACACTGGGCAAGGATTTTCCCTTTCAAGGTTGCATCTGTAGCCTTGCACTCAGAAAGAAATGGAATGGTCCAACCTTCCTTGGATTCTGTCATATTTATCCTCAGTTGGCTTAACAAAGCAGGCTAGGCTACTTGCCCTAATATGGGGGTAGGCTGCTGTTGGCTAATGCATTACTGTTGTTCTTTTTGAAGGGAGCAATAAATGGTGAGAGAGAGAGAAAGAGCCATTTTTCCTTGTTTTAGAAAGTTGCTGGGCATTGTGGTGCATCTGTAGCATTCTAAATAATCAAAGGAGCTAGAGCTACAGTTTATTGACTGCAGTTTCACAGATTTTCTAAAAGGTTTAGAAACAATCTGAATCTGAGATGAATGGATCAGGGCCTCTGGCAGATCTGAAAGGAAGCTAAGTGCCATTGATGGAATTGCTGTGAAGGCAAAAATAGATCACTTTGAGACAAATGCTTAAATGTATTAGAGAGCCTGCTGTAAGGCAGTTGTGCTCCCTGACAGACTACCTACATTTTTCATTCTCCCCAAGGCCCCAGACCAAAGCTATATCAAGCGTATTGTGGGAAAATTAAAATAGTGTCCCCCAGTGAAGGAATGTCATCAACAGATGTAGTGCCTGTTGCCATAGGATAAGATCTGTAGCAAGGCACAAGCTGTCATCCATAATTACTCCTGATGTTACAGTAGAACCCACTTAAATGTTAATTAGAGTATTAGAAATTGATTGGAGTTGTAAGGCCTTATTCTTTGCAGTACTTTACTTCAATACATAGTAAGTCTAGTGACACTTAAGTATTTAGTTAATGAATGATGTTTTCCAGTGAAAAACTGTTGGCCAGAGACTGAGAGTAAAGAAAGATAAACATTTCTCAAATAGATTGTACCTGCTTTGGCCTGCCAGTCTGGCATCCTCCAGATGCTTCCATTTGCATTGGCCTAAACCAGCATGGGCAAACCCTAAAGACTGTGCAAATTATAGGTCAAAACATCTGAAAGTCATCAGACTGTATATATAGAAAGCAGGGTTAAAAACTCTCTCCAAAAGCATGAAGGTGTGAAAAAGAAACAAAGAAGATTTGATATATAGAGCTATTTTTTTTTTAAGAGAACTATAGGGATACTGGTGATTATCATAGGAATTGTGTTTATTTGATAATGACATCTGGCTTGAAGCCATCAGCTTTCCAAATCTGGTTTCTGTGTGGAAAGACAACTAAATAGTGAGTTCAAATGTTCACATTCTTCTCCTCAGAAGTTTGTTTTGGGCACAACTATCCAAGCTGAGAAGTAAAATATTGGCATTTAACATTTCTTTGTTTTGCTGAAAAAGAGAGTCTAATGTAAAATACAGTGTTCCTCTTCCTACGTACACACAGCCTTTCCAGTTCTATTAGCTTTGAAATTGAGTAGATTTTCTGCCTCTTCCCTTTGCGTTTCCTCCCACGATACACAAAAAGGTCATTCCAGTATTTGGGGAGGGTTCTGAGCACTAATACCCAACACTTGGGGTCAGAAATGCAGTGAAGATGGAATATCAATGTCATTTGTGCATAACAAACTTAATTTCCTGCATTTGTGGAAACGTCAGAAGCTCTGCTGAATTTCCTGCTCAGTTTTCAAGGGCAGACCCAGAATTCATCAACACAATGAATGCGTGCATGATCTCAGTCAGATGCACTGACTGTATTATGTTTATCCATGTGAATGTATATTAACTGACTGATTCACTGATTAAACAAACAGATTAAGCACCATTTGAACACATTTAAAAGACAGTGCCATTAATTGGAACATGTATGTTAGCATTTTCCTAAAATTATTTTAAAACATACAACATCTGCTAACATGTTTACAAGTCAGTTTTTCCCAATTGGTTTGATCTTAATTCCAATCTTTCCCAGACTCTTGGTAGGCATGATCACTCTGGATGATAGAAGTTAGAATGTATCATGTCACATGGGAGAGGGTTAATGTAGTACTTAGAGTTTTGGAGGACTGGACAAGCCACTCATCCAGGAAGTTGATCTTGTGCTTGTTCATTTTTCAGCCTGATCTACTTCATAGATCTGTTGTGGGAAACAGGGGAAGAAAGACAGACTATGCCATTTTGATCTCCTTGGATGTAAGAGTGGTAAATAAATATTTTTCAAAGTTGTCTTAGCCATTTGATTAACTGATCGGTTATGAAATTGAAACTCACCAAATTAATTGCCTAAGATTAGATACACACACACTGTATAGCCTATTTTACAGGTTCCAGATAAAGTCCTACTGTGTTTCCCTCAAAGCCTTTGATGCTGGGCAAAGTTTATACCTGGCCTGCATTTAAAAGACTTATAGAGGCAGTTTGGATGGATTTCTTTCCCTCATTTCTGACTCCTTTCACCTTCTCTGAATTGGATGTGTCCGTTTTCTGTGAAGTGGCTCCAGCTGTGACCTCATAGCTTAATTTATTTCTGAAGTTTTACTAACTGGATTAGGACTGTGATTTGCAGGCTTTATTTCCTCCATTCTCATTAAGCTCAGAGGAGGCTTTAAAAGGCGGACTTGGGTGGCATGTTGGGCCTTTGATTAGCAAACCCAGGACAAGACAAATCTTCCTCCCCTTCATGATGGTCTCCAAGGAATTTATGACCACCACTTTTCTCTCTTCCTTTCAGGCAGCTTCAGCAGCAACAAGCTGAGTTGGAAGTACACCAGAGAGATGGACTTTCCTCGTATGACTTAACTCAGGTGAGAGGCTCCTGCTGAATTGACTTGGATTCTTTAAAATAACCCATAGCTAAACCAAGCGATTTGCCACCAGCAGATTTGTCAATAACTTTAAAAGAAGGCCAAACTAATTCACAGAGGAGAGGACTGTCAGAGGCTTCCTACAGACTCATGTTCATGGGTGGCACTGTGGCCCAGAATGCTGGACCTGATGCATCCTTTGCCCGATCCAGCTTCAGGGTTTTTTTTCCTGTTTTTATGAGACAAAAAAAAAAGGTATATTTCCAGTTTCCCTGTGAAGTTCTACCTTGCTCTCACCCTGCCTCGTTTGTGGGATTTAAGAGGGCATATAACAACACTGTTGACCACAGTCTTCCTGTGTTTTCCTTCTCCTCCTCTTGTCATTATTTCCATCCAAAATATTCAATAAGAGAATTCCTGCACAGTGTCCTCTGAAAATTATGCAGATTCTTTCCACCTAGAAGCACTTCTAGATAATTAAATGTGAGAATGCTTCTGATATATTGTGCTCTGCCTTTGGCTTCTGCAACTGTTCACCCGGTGTCTCTCACCTACCCCAGCCACAGGCCACTTTGGCTGGATCCATACCATTCAAGCACAGCTTCATTACTGTTGCAAAGGACCAAGCCAGCATCCTCATGGTCCAGGGAATAATAGAGCAGTACAAAGATGAAGTATGCCTATTGCAGAAAGCAAATCTGGGGGATAAGGGCTTGCCTCTTACTAAGATGGGTGGAAATTTAGCCATCAAAGAAATTGTAGTTTTCTTCTCTCTGCTTGTTTCAATTAGGTGCCAGTTCCAAGTATACAGTCCAATGTTCACGAGGGGGGGAAACCAGTGGAAAAGCCTGACACCATCTTCTCCCAGGAGAGGGATCCAAGATTTGCTGAGATGTTTGCTGGCATAACCACTTGTAAGTAAAATTTGTTCTCTTAGTTTCACTGTCAGAATTAATAGTAGAAGTTATTGTTATTTTTGATTCTCAGTTCACTATGCTATCATCCCATCAAGAGATCCTAAACCCCACACTCTGTTTCAGTGGAAAACACATAATGGAGAAAAGGAGACATTCATTCCCAAGTTGAACTGTTCTAAGTTAACCTTTTGCCCATGGATTTAATTTGGGAGACAACTGATGATTGCACTTGGAGCGTGTTAGCACTCTCACAAAATGGCAGTGTAGGGAGGTATCTCCAGTTAGGAGACACTAAAATGAAAAAGTAATACTTAGGAGTTACAAAAAGGATTAAATTCACCAGACAATCAACCCAATCTTCAGGGTGGTTTTTAAAGACATCTCTACTTTGCAGCAGCTAAATCTTACAGCTGTTGCCTATTCTTTTGTTTTCAACGTAGTCTATTCTTAGCAGTGAATGTAAGAGTTCTCTTCTCCCCACTTCCCAATTCATTGCTAAATATTTGAGGGAAAAACCTGGATTTCTTCATAGGGAAGGGGATTGGATTCAAAACAGTTCTTTCAGTTTTATTCTAAATTTAAGAGAAGAAAAAAAAATAGGTACTTGCATCTCAACAGTTGTCAGCATGGCTGATAGCTGGGCATGAATAGCAATTCAGTAAATCAACCAGCCTTTTCCAAAGAGGGGACAGAAATGTTGTCTTTTCCAGAGGTATTTTAGGATTATTTTTACTGTGATCTTTCTGTCTGTTTATTGTTCCTAACCTTCCCTGCTGCTGATGAAGTTTTAACATTCGTTATGAATTAATCATCATGCAACGAGTTCTTAGCCAAGGCAGAAGCGTCCCACTGTTTGTAACAAAGGGTCACTTGGAGACAGCGGCCCAGCTGGGCCTCCTTCTTTAGAGATGCAGTCATCTTTCTTCCATCCATCATGGAAAATGTTTTTTAACAGTGATTGCTCTCTGAAGCTGGTTATCTCCAGTGACAATAATAGGCCTGGATCACTGGGTGAACTTCTAGGATCCTGCAAACTCAACGATCTCCCCATTCATAATGGCAGACCTCTTTATTTCCCTAAGCAAAATGCAGCAGATATTTTTATGTTATTTATATATGCATTTATTTATTGTACTTCTATACTACCATAATTGAATCAAGTCCTAGCAGTTGTAATCAATAAAACACACTGCACATCATAAAAACAATAAAACTATCACCACTACAAATAATTGATAGAGTAAAAAACAGTAACTTCAATCTACACAGGATAACATCCCTCAATTATCAAATATCTTCTGGAACAGCTCAATTTTCACTAGTTTCCAGAAGGATTACTCAAGGGTGTTGACCTGACCTCAAGACAGAATAGTCCAAAGTATAGGGTGTGGTCCTGAAATACATTATCTGTGGGTTGCTGTCCCTTCCCCTCAGAGCACTGGGGACTACCAAAGATTTTGATGGGGCATATGTGTTCGAGGCAGTCACTTCAGTGTGGACGGGATGGTTGTCCTCATGACCCTCTTCAGAGTAGCCCCCAGCTGATCTCATTTGTCAGAGAAACAGAAAAAACCTTGAGAAGATGACCATGGCATTTCATCTCGCATTTATTTATTTTATTTATTTTACCATGTCTAGATTCCATCCAATTCAAAAGACTCTGAGCAACTTACAACAGGTTAAAATGTTAAGCAGCAATAGAAATGAATCAAAATTATGAAGTTCAACGATCACTCTGGCTGGGCACCAATAAAACGTAGCTAGGGTTGAAGGCCCGGTGAAATTGTCTTTCAAATGTTCCTCCATGGAGGATGGAGCTTTATGAATTTCTGGGGGTAAAGAGTTCTATAGTGTACGGTACCACAGAGAAGGCCTGTCATCTTGCCCACATCCCCCTTGATTCAGAGGGAGGAGGAACTTTTAACAGGCCTTCTTGAAATGTTCTCACCAGGCAACCAGACTGAGTTGTGACAAGAAGAAAAGGTGTTTCTCTGTGAAATAGAGAGGCAAATTCCTACATTATGGTTTAAAATCTGCCCAGACAATGTGCAAATCACAAAACACTACTCTAACAGGATTCCTTCACCCAGTTCTGTGATTTTGGGATCAAGGCAAATATAGTAGCATGGCTACAAGGGAAAAAAATTAGGGCTCTAGAAGAGGTAGATGCCCCCTTTCCTGTAGACTATTGCTTGACAGAGAGAGAGAGAGAAGAGGGGAAAAGGAGGGTGTCAGAAAGAGATTGGGTGGTTCCTACTGATATTGGGTTTAAGATGTGCTCACCATGTGACTCCCAACAGATTATACTGAGGGGGTGCATCCCTCAATTGGAAAAAAAATAAAGTTCCTTGCATTTGCTTTAAGCTATAAAGAAAGTATTTTTCATGTAGGATGCAATTAAAAATGAATAGAGGGTACACTACTTGTTACTTTAACATATTTGCATAATGTTGATTTTGGATTGATTTTCTCTGGGCCAGTGCGTGCAAATAGCTGGAGCTTGCACAGAGCGGCCTATCATACTAGGGACATTTGCTCTGCAGCCGTCAAGCACGTCTCTTTGCAGGAAGAAAAAAGAAAGAGAAAATATCCCCTATTGCTATGGCCATGTGTTTATAAGCAGCAGATCTTATAAAAATATTTCTTAAAAATACAGTGCAGGAAGAATTCTGTATTTCTGCATTTGCTGCATCTCCCAGGTCAGATATAACTCACTTCTCCTTTATCCCTGTCCAAAAAAATAGAAACAGATATCTAAATATCAGAAATCAGTTTTGCTAGATGGCTTGTTGCTTGGCAAACGTGGCTTCTTGGCCTTGTGCTGTGAGCAGAGACATTCGAATGATGCTGTACAGTCTCTCAGTCTAATTTGTCAACGATTTCTCAACATCATGGCAATGTTTCCAGATTTTTAATATAAGCATGAATCCAAACTTTATTTGCTGCAGTTGAGAGGTTCCCATTAAGAAGTCCTCATGCACCATTTGAATTTTGGCTCATGGGGGGAGGGGGGGGAGATTCTGGATAATAGACAAATGTTTGTTACTATTTTTGTTCTGTTTTCTGTCTGGGGTAATGATAGTGATCCCAGATGCTATGTGTTTCTGTCCAAATGAGGTTCCTTTCAATGTCAAGAGGCATTGATCTATTGCAGCTGTCTTTCACCTTGTCCCCTCCGATGGTTTTGGATCATAATTCTGAAAATGTTCAGCCTGCCTGGCCATGCTTGCTAAGCATTATGGGAGTTGTAGTCTGGCCTGTTTAGGGGCACCCATTTGGTGAAGGTGCCTGTGTTGCGCAATAGTTGAAGGAATTATTTGTAAGGAAAAGCAGTCATGCCAAATGTATTTTTTAAAAAAGAAACTTGGCAACAGAAGGCCCCTGGACTCCAAAAATGTGATCTAAATGTTTATTATTTTGGGCTGAAATTCCACAAATTCAGCAAAGCTCCTATGATTTGGCTGCATTGCACCAAAGCCTTATGAGAGTTGAATGTACAAGTGGTAAATCTCATGTATTTTTCTTTCCCTTCTTTTTCTTTTGTTTGTGTGTGTGTTTGCTGGGGGTGCGTGTACATAACTGCCAAAGGGCATCCAGCAGCTAAAAGATTGCTGACCATATTATATTTATGCCCCCCTGCCTTTTTCCTAAGAAAACAATGTGTGGTTCTCTCTCCTGCTCCCTTATTTTATCCACACAATAGTCCTATAAGGATAGTCAGCCTGAAAGGAGACAACTTGCCCAAGATCACCAGCTCATCAAGGGAAGACTGAAATTCGAGCTTCCTTAATCCTAATCTGTCACTCTATTAAACTGACCCTTCTAACATAGCCAGTTTTCCTTTGGCAATTGCTAAATCTGGCCAGAATTTTCAAGCTATCCTCACAGTCAATTACAAATAAATGTCTTTAGACAGTAGTTTGCAGCATCTTGGGTGAATTTGCAGTTTGGTACAATTTTGCCATTGTTCTTAAGGTCGTGGCTTAAAGCCAAGGTAAATAAGCTTAAACTGAGCTGAACTCTATGCTTCCCTGGTCAGCAACTAATTTTTGAACCAGCTGTATTCATGATTCTCTCCCACAGAAGCCAGGAGAGAAGCAAATAGATGCCCTGGCAGAGTTTTTCCCATTAGATAATTCAGAGGCTTACTCTATTTCTGCCCGCACTAGAGTTTACTTTTGAAACTCTCATTGTGCAACTTGTGGTGTGAGGAAGAGGAGCAATTTGGAGCAAAAGGCAAAAGTGTTGTACTTCTGGCATCAGCTCTCCCTTTATCAAGAAGAGGTTCTTCTCATCATGTGATCCAACCTGAGAAAGACATGATGTGCTACAAACCCCATGATCTCCATAATGGGAGTCTTGTGAGCAGTAGAATGGGCAGATTCCAAAGAACTGAACCATGCGTCCTCTGGCTGAACTAGAGACCCTTCCTCATAGGCTGAAGAAAGCAACAGTCATCCATACGTATGCCACTGCTTTGTACCAGATGAGGCCATCATCCATCCCAGTGTCTCCCAGCCTTGGCAATTTCCAGATGCGTGGACTTCAACTCCCATAATTTTCAGCAATAGCCATGCTAGCTAGGGAATTTGGGGAGTTGAAGTCCACACATCTACAAGTTGTCAAGGCTAGGAAACATGGATCTGTCCTAATATTGACTAAGGTGATTGGTAGCAGACCTTCAGAAACTTTAGCAAAGATCTTTCCCATCACCTCTTAGCTCAGTGATGGGCATCACACAGACCTTATTTAAACCTAGAATGGACACTGCCCACTTCCACCACACCACCCCAACATCAGGGCCCTGATCATTGACATGAAATGTATAACCACCGTAGGGTAAAACCTCCATTTTTCAGTAGAAAAACAGAAGAGGGAAAGATTGAATGACAATTATAGCAATAACCTAGCTTCAGAATAATGGAAATATGTTGTAGAATTTTTTTTAATTGAATAACTAGAAAAATAAGAGGGGCAAACCTCCCCTTACCTGGAAAAAATGAGTTTGCAATCCTCAATGACATCATAATGGTATCACTCTGTCTAATATGGCCCTTCCCCACTGAAAAATTAATTTGTAGAAAAAGACACCTCTAAGCCACACTTCATCACCCAAAACTTCCTCCTCTTCCTCACTGGAGATTTAGAGCAAGAGAAAAAAAATATTTGTATTAAGTACAGAGGCAAATGGAAGGCAAAGAAATATAGATCATGGCAATCAAGTTCAAAAGTAGACATCTGTAAACTAATTATAGTAACTATTCACAAAAATCTTTTGAAACCCATCCTGGCATTAATGAAAGCATCTGTAGTGTGATCAGATGGATTGCTTCCATTCACACACACTGCTTAACCTGTTTACTGAATTAACTAATTTACTGGATTTGCACAATACTTTGAAATGTAAAATAACCAAACAGTGAGGTTTGGTCAATATGATAAGTCACAAACAATAAGTCTTATACTATGCTTAGATATAAGCATATACCAAAGAAAAATGCCAGAAACCAACCCCAATTAATACTTCAACCAAGCTGAATATGCTGAATGCATCTGTAGAATGTTCTTCTGATTTGGGGAAAACATCATGTGAACACGGTCATGATCTCATTCTGAACATAGGTGCATTGCTATAACCTTGGATATGAGGAATTTTGTCATCATCCCACAGGCATAGCTGGAAGACAAGAATGTAGCGTTGGGTTGGGAGGAAACCTATCCACAGAATTGTTGGTGGCATTGAAAGGGCAGTTTCGGCAGTGCGAAACAGCATTCATATGTTACACGTGGATTGATGCCATCCCAGGGCTATCTGCAAGGGATGGTTAAAAATGTCAAGATGGCAGCTGCAACAGTACAATGGAAGCTCCACCTGATTTTTATGGGTGTTGGCTTGTTCTGAATCCTCTCTTTCTGTTGATGGCTCTTGCAGCAGATAAAAAAATGATGCCTTCAGCTTCCACGACAGGAAACCAGCAGATCTACTCTCAAGGCAGCCCGTTTCAACCAGGACATTCTGGAAAGTCTTTCAGGTATTGTGACTTACGGCAGAATGAATAAATACAGGGATGCCACACTTGTATGAGAAGCTGTAGAATGAATAGCAGTCCTTTTCATTACTAACAATTATTTCATTTACCCTGTTGGAAAAAATCTGAGGCTACTGTTAAATCATCCTCTGATAGGCATTTTCTGCTTCTACTAAAGAAAGGTGTTTCTATTTATTTTTACATCCTGTAATTTAGATTCAGATGTGTTTTTCTTTTTTTGAATTCTGGCATCTTTCAGCTGTGTGCAAATTTCTGTTTTGTAGAGTACTTTCAGATACCGAAAAGATTAAGTCAGTTACAATTAATTGATATAATTTGCTTTTGTACCTAATATAATCATGGAAAGAGAGATTCTCCATTGGATTTCTTTTTCTCCCAAGAATTAACATCTGGTGCTTGACTGATTTGTTACAGATGATGATGATGATGATGGAACCGACTTGATTTATATTGTTTAGCTCTCCATTCAGGGAGATCTTAAAATATGCATAATTACTTAAAAGTCACAACAAGTGAACCATCATGCAATGCAGAGATATATGTGCATGTTCTTCAATTCAATTTCATTATTTTTAAAAAACTAATTTAGCAAGTATTTATAATAGTATCTTTTGACCTCAGTGTTAGGGCTCAGAAATATCCAGATTCAACATCCAGTTATATCTGGACTGGTCCATGTAGAATGAAGGAACAGAGGTATATGATTGAGAAGAGCATAGATTACTGTGTGTCCTGTAGCAGGCAAAGGACAACATGGAGCTTGAAACACCTACAAGGCTCAGAATTGGGAGGGAGGTATTTACATTTCTTCTTTTTTAAAAAAATATAATTTTAATGAAAGTTTTAACAAGAGTAAAAATTAATACAAACTAAAATAGAATAAGAAAGAAAAAGATAGCAGTAAAAGAGAAAGCTAAAATGCAAAAAGAAAAAGGAAAGGAAAGGAAAAAAAGGTAGAAGAAAAGTAGAAAAGAAAGAAAAAAGATATAAAGAAGTGGCTTCAATCTTCTTTACAGCAATTATAAGTACAAAATTTATCTCATTCTCTAAAGTTACATCATGAGTTTCTTCTTTCTATAATCTATCCTATTTAATTTCCAAAACCATAGATCATAAGTTCATTTTTTTTCTGTTTTACGCAAAAAGTCCCTTCAGCAATACGTGTAGGTATTGTCTTTTCTCTAATCAAACATATTAATTTGGCCATCTCAGCAAGTTCCATCATCTTCACCAATCATTCCTTCATTGTAGATATTGCCAAATCTTTCCATCTTTGAGCATACAATAATCTCGCTGA